TTTTTGCCCAATAAAATTTTTAGAAGGGTAAGTAAAGCATGAACTGTTAAAACCCCAACAAGATAATTCATTTATATAAACTTGATACATGACAAGCACTATGTCTATGTTTGTATCATACCAAACCAACATACATGGTTGTACTTGCTTTCCTATTCCTAGGCTACATATTTCACTTGATATTAACTTTGCATATAACCACTATGTATATTAAATGAATAATTGATATATTAAAGTTATTGATGAAGAGAACTCATTAGTACTCCATATTTCATTTATATAATCAATCTAAAACTAAAAAAATTAGTCAGAGTTGAAGAACAAGTGAAGCATATTCATTTTTATTAATTGCTAAAAAAAAAAGTAAGTATAGATGAAAAGATATCATCAAATGGATTCAATGATATGCTCTACACTCATCCTTGAACTTATAGGATTGCTTCCACAAACTCTCTAATGGAATATATCTAGTAAATTTTAAATTTCCTTAGTTATCACTGCTATGGACACATAAAACAAGCATTATAAAGACTGAAATTAAACAAGTGACTGAACTCCCTTACTAATATTACAATTAGAATATTTATAACAACTATAGAAAATAGATTTTGGTGCCATAGCACTCCAGATACTTAGGCCACGATGGTAATAAAATGAACTAATGTTATAACATTGAAGGGTTTCTTATACTGCATCATTTGCTAACATGAACCCATTGTTTAATGAATCGATGTGTCACTTCACTCATAGATCATGAATAGCTACAATTGAAATGCCATGACTTATTAGTGCTAGAATTTGGCACTGAAGTGCTGTACTGCTAGAGACTAGGCTTTGTGACTCAGACTCGTCTAACACTACATTACTGGGATAGTTGGCTGGGCTTGCGGCCTTGACTCCCCCTATGTTGCGGTACTATCAAACAAAAAACTAAGCACTGCCATGTCTATATTTGGGTGCTTCAGTGGTGCCAATGATGGGGTTATGATGGAATTGTGTCTGAAACTACTGTGTTGTACCATATTTGAAAATTTTACACATTTCTTGAATTTTCCTACTCGAACACAACTAAAAAATACATTTTCACTAACAAATTAACACATAAAATTTAATATTATTTACACTTATTAATTATCCTAAAAATAAAAGTTCCAAAAGGTCTAGTGAAAGCATTTTTATATTGATCTTCTAGTGCAATAGAAATTTGATGATATCTTGAGTATCCAACTAGGAAATAATAAAATGAACTCCCTACCAATTTCTAACATATGATCAAGAAAAGGCAAGGAAAAATGATCTTTTCTATTGGCTTTATTTTATTCCTATAATCTATGCAAATCCTCTATCCTAAAATAGTTCTGGAGGGTATAAGTTCATTATATTCATTTGTTATAATAGTCAATCCTTCTTTTTTAGTAACTTAATGAATAAGACTAACACAAGAACTATCTGAAATAAGATAAATAATCCCAACATCCATCCTTTTAATATTTCTTTAATAACAACTTTCATAGAAGGGTTAAGTCTTCTTTGAGGGTCATCTTTTGGTATTGAATTAGCTTCCGTTTAGATTCTATGCATATGAATTGAAGTATTAATCCCCTTAATTCCAACAATTATCCACCCAAAAGCACTTTAAAAATTACTCAACACCCTAATCAAATCACTTTCCTGATATTGTTCTAAATTTGCTAAAAAAATTATAGAAAAATTAGAGTTCTTATAAAAAAAAGCATACTTTAGATGATAAGCTAAAGCCTTATGTTCTCAAATAGGGGCTTCCTTAATGGGTGGTTTTAAACTTTTTTCAAAATAGTATGTTTCCAACAATGCAAAATTTTTATTGATTAAGTTTTCATTCCTTACTATAAATTTCCCTAACATTTCTTTATTCTCTCCAACTTCTTCCCCTTTTGATAATCCTCCTTCTAACTATTCTTCCTTATGGTTATCTGTTACCACACCTAAAATAATCTTTATTCTTCTCTTGAGGGAATTTGATAATTTTAATTATCTAATATTTATCTTTTTGAACATGAACTCTAATAATCAATTCAATTTTTTGAAAGTTCAAATATGTTGTTATACCTAATATATTTAGATATTTTGTATAATATTGAAAATTTTCCCAAAAATATTTTTCAACCACAAAAATTAAATGTATAGAAAATAAAAAGTAGTAAAAAATAATGATAAAAGAACACCAGAATTTATAGTGGTTCAGTCCAACTAGACCTATATCCACTCCCTAAAGACTCCTTCTTCTGGTATTACACTATACCAATGTGACTCTCCTTTTACTCCCATAACAAGGCAGAGAAGCCCATATAATAGCCTCTCTTCCACCAACCCCAGTGCGATAGAGTACCGTCGTCCTTTCTCACCATCCTAGTGTTATAGACTACCATTATTTTTTCTCACAGTTCTAGTGACGGTAGAGTTTTGACATCCTTTCTCACCCCCTGGTGATGGTAGAGTACTAACATCCTTTCTCACCCTCCTGGTGATGGCAGAGTACCAGATTTTCTCCAAAGATATCCTCTCAATAGTCTTCAAAGAAGTAGGGTAGAGATTTGAAGAACATACAAAGAGATCTTCACCTTTGGTCAACCTTATAAACCCTTCAGAAATTCCACTTGCAAGATCTCTCAATCCTCACTCCCAAACACTCTTCCAAAAGTCTCTCATTCTCACTCCTAAGGGAAAATTTGTAGAAGAAGTAGGATATATAGTTTTTAGGACTCTTATATTTGAAGGTTGAGAAAAATTGTCTAGAAAATAGAAAATTTCAAGTTGAACGTACTTGGATAGTACAGTACAATCATACTTCATACATATAAATAGTTCAAAAATTGATGTACTGTCCTTTAGAAACCTGATTTCATACTCTGTCAATCATATGTATAAACTAATTTTATATAATATGAATGGTTCAAAACAAAATAAGTTTGTCCTATATGATTTCATACAAACCTATTTCATTCACTGGTCATCATCTATATGAATCTTGCATCATAGAATATGAACAAATAAATTAAATCATGCTCTCATAGGGTACAAACATGGATGATCCCATTTCATACTCTGGACATTATATGTATGAACCAAAGTTTGTATAGTATGAATAATTCAAAAGTTGTGTTCATATGGGATGAACTGGTAGACAACCATTTCATACTCTGAAATTCATATGTACAAACCTCACTTCATATAATATGATCAATTCAAAAAAAGGTGAGTTCATTCGGGATGAATTGGTACGTACCCATTTTATTTTTGGACATCATTTGTACCAATCCAACTTCGTATAGTATAAATTGTTCAAGAGAAATTTTCCAAGGCATTATTTAATTAACTTAGTTATGGAGGAGCTTTCAGGTCAAATAGTCCAGTACAATTCTAGAATATTATAGTATGATTAATTTTAAAAATAAAAGTTTTGGCTCGATCTTTCAATGTGTGTGTACATGGTTACCCAATTTCAATCACACTCTCTCATACTAAAAAAAAGGAAAAATTATAGACTTCAATTACAAAAAATCTTAATCTAATCTGTCTTGAAGTCTTCGACAATCTAGAATATGATTTCCCTGAAACTTTAGTTCTTACAAACAACACAATTTTTTTTCTAATATGTATTAAAATAAATATTAATCAACATAATAATATTTTGGAATCATAAAAAACTCACATGATATAAAAACATAGTTTTGAAAACTAAGTTGCAACACTTTTATACATTAATCATTACTTTATCAGTGCCTAAAATTGGTCTTCCTAAAATAAGAGGTATTTCCTTATCTTTTTCCTTATCTTGAATAATAAAATAAAAAGGTAAAATGAATTTATCAACTTTAATCAACAAATCTTTTGTTACTCCTCTTTGGTAAGTGAAAGATCTATCAATTAATTGAAGTGTAATAGAAGCAGGTTGAATCTCTCCTATATCTAGTCTTTTAAAAATAAAAAGCAGGATTAGGTTAATACTAGAACCCAAATCACATAAAGCCCCCCCACAAAATTTTTCTCCAATAGTTAAAATAATGGAAAAACTCTTCATGTCTTTAAGATTTTTAGGAAGTTTCTTTTGAATTATAACACTACACTTTTGAGTTAATGCCATAGTTTCAAATTCTCTTAGCTTCCTTTTCTTATTCAAAACATTCTTCATGATATGTGGGCATTTGTTCTAAAGCTTTTGTGAAAAGTTTATTAATCGTTAATTTTTTAAACACTTCTAAACATTTTGAAAACTTTTGTCAAGATTTTGTTTGATCAATCTCTAAGGGAAAGGTGGTGGTGGTCTCTCTTCAATCCTTGTAATTACTCGTTTAAGTTCTTTTATAAGTTTTAGTTGTTTTATTGATGATTTATTTTCTACTTGCTTAACTTCACTATCATCATTTTTAGGAAAATCTCTATCTTTGTAAGGATCTCCTAAATCTTTCATACTTCTAAGTTGGATATTATGACATTATTCTTCCATTCTTTTATTTAATCACCCTAGCAAATTGCCCTATTTGTTCCTCAAATTCTTTAAAGAGCATAAGATTTAATTTATACATAGATTCCTAGTTTTAAAATAGAATTTTCCAAGGATATTTTCTCTTTCCTATTATGATAGAGTTGTTCAAAATATAAGGGATAAAGCTGCAACACTACAAGTCTAAGCACTACGACACTAAGATTTCTAGAATTGATGTTAAAATTTTCACATCCATCTGCCATATTTTTAATCTTTAAGTAATCCATTTTTTAAAATTTTCTACAACCTGTGCAATTAAGATTGAAAAAACTTCATATTCATAAATTCTAGCTATTTTTTAAGATTTACCCTATCAATAGGACATAAGAAACTATTAGTAGCAATTTCATCTATTAATTCATATGCTCTCTCAATTATCTTAGATATTATTGATCCTCTAGATACAACATCAATTATAGCTCTAAGAGTTCCTACAAATCCATTTTAAAATGTTTGAATAACCAACCAATTAGGTAATGCATGATGAGGGTATTTTCCGAGCATTTCCTTAAATCTTTCCCAACTCTCATAATTGGATTCTACTTCAAATTGAGTAAAAGAACTTATATCATTTCTATGTATTGAAGTTTTTCAAGGAGCAATATTTTTATCAAGAAATTTATGAGCTAATTCAATCCAAGTAAGTATAAAGCCTAGGAGTAATGAATTCAACCACAATTTAGCTTTATCTCATAGAAAAAGGAAATAATCTAAGTTTAATTGTATTATCACAAACACCATTATACTTAAATGTTGTACAAATTTCTAGAAAAATACTAAATGTAAATTTAGATCTTTTATAGAAGTCCCCCAAACAGAGAGTTTTAAACCATTTAAATAATGGTTGGATCTAATTCAAAATTATTAGTTTGGATTATAGATATATTTATTCTTTGATAAATTTCTTTTACTAAAGGGTTTGCATAATCCTTAAGAGGTGTAGAATAATTTTGTCCTGACTAAGTTTCAATTATTTTCAAAATCTTTTTGATTTTCCAAATTATAGAAAGGGTTCTCTCTTTTTTTAGATAAAATGATAAAAGTTCATTTCTATGGCTATAAAACTTGCAACAAAAAATACATTTAGTAATCAAGAAGATTTAAAAAAAAAAGTAAGTAGTTCTAACTATGCAACTTATTCAACAATTTAGTTAAAATTTTGAAAAAAAGCACAATACTTCCTGATAAGAATGCCAAAAGAATGATGGGGGTTACTATGGAGTGCAATTTTGAAATATAAAAATGTTGAAGGTTCTATCTCTTCTAAATAATTCTTAGGTTATCTTTAATAGATAAAAATAATAAATCGCACCTAATATACAAAAGTATATGCGCTGAATCAAATAATGAAATGATAGAGTAGAGTGTCAATCCCACAAGGTAGTATGCTTTTTAGTAATCAATTGTTACTGTTTTCTCTAATTGCAAAATTGTCATATTAAAATTTTGTTTTGTTGTGGAGATTCAATCATTGAATAAAATAGTAAAATTATGGATATAATATTTAAATAAAGTATTTTTGATTGATGAATATAAATTTCATTTTGTCATAATAAAATTCTTATCTTTTATGTGATTTAGAGCATATGCATCCCTAGATCTCTATAGAGCTTGCAAGGTCAAAATGATATATGCTGACCTCTTATAGTTATATACATGGTTATTCTTATGTTCCTCCATTGAGTCTATAAATCAAACTAGGTTTTAATTACACATAAGACCACTATGTGTATTAAATAAAGAGAAGGATAATACAGAAAACAACATTTAGGTTTAGAGCATAAGAATCTTTATTAGTATTTAATATGTTCTCTAGATCATCAATCCAAAATATGATAATTAGCTATACATGAAACAAAAGATAAGCAAACCAATTTTTATTGAAATCATAGAAGAATGAAAATACAAGAGAATGTTATCACTTGGAATGATAAATGTATCTCCTTTACACTCCTCCTTCCTTAGTGCATAGAGTTGCTTAAATAAACTCTGACTAAAGCACTCTAATTATTGTATCTAGTACTTTCTCAGCCTCTGTTAGATTTGACTCCAAGAGAGATCTAAATAAGTAATTCGAAGAGTACTAAAGTTATACAAGGGACTAAACTCTATTACAAATATAACATAATGACTATTTATAAAAAAGCATAAATTAGGAAACTAGCGCTATAGTGCTTATAAGATTGGCACTACAACACTCATAAAATGAAATAATGTCATTGTATTGATGTTTTGTCACCACTATGTACAAGCTAATGTGGATTGGTTAATTAGTAAATAGTAAAGTCATTTTATTGATAGATCATATCTTTGGAAGTTACAACTACTATGCCACGGCATTGTTGATTTTTAAATGCTATGACATCAGAGTGACAGTTTTGGCATTGATGTGTGATAGATTAAGACACGATGGGGCTTAAAATCTTTGAACACAATCCTAGAAATATACCTATTTTGAAGCCATTGAGCTATCTATCACAAAAGTCAGTGTCACCATGTCAATGTTATTGCACTCTGATGATTCCTTTGATGGCGCTGCGGTGCTGTTTTGTCCGACAACGTTGTACTGGATGATACTTAGAATTTAGTTCTTTTTTTATATTTTTCTTACACAAAATAACTAAAATAATATATTTTTATCAAAAATATAACACATAAAATAATACATTATTTAAACTTATCATATTTATGATTGATTAAAGAAAATATTGGTGACCCATCAGGTTTCCCCCTATTTTTAGATGTCAACACTCATCCAGTCCAAAAATATGAATTTATAACATCCAAAATATTTTTATATTTATAAATATTATGTGATGTAAACACTCCTTTGACAATAATATGAGTGTCTCCTTATGTTAATGTACAAAGAAAAATATCACTAATTATAATTTTAAGTATTTCATGAAAATAGAGTGTCAATCAAAGCAAAAAAAAATCACAAATTACCCAAAAAATTTTGAAAAATTAATCAAAGCGAATTATAAAGGATCCTTTGGACTCAAAAAGTATCAAAATTGAGTCTATAGCATAAATAAAAGTCCTAAGGACTGCAAAACATCTAAATTGGATCATCTGGGCTTAAAATTAGGCTCGGACATGGTTTAGTGGTTAGTGGGTTATCGGTGGCACCAGCAACCATTGTGTAAGCACTTGGGCACATAAACAACACATGAGGTATAGAATTATTTTTGAGAACCTCTTATGCGTGGTCTTATTAATAGCACCATAGGATCACCTTTTTTTTTAAAAAAAAAAACTTAGATATCAAGCTCTATGAGGCAGCAATAATGCCACCTTTTCTAAATTTTGATATAGATGATATTGCCTTATTGTAATTTTTTTATTTTATTATATCTTAAGATTACTTCTTCCCTTTACAAAATGATGATAGGTGATGGGGGCAATGGACTAACCTAAGAAATTATGAAAATGCTTTAGGGCACTATCAATTCCTATATAATACTTATGTTTTCTTTGATTTAAAATTTTTAAAATCCCCACTTAATATATACAAATATACATGCAAAATCAAGTAATTTAATGATAGAGTTTAGTGTCGATCCCATGTAGAATAATATTTATTTGTAAATTCTAGTACTGTCTACTTTAACTATAATTATTATCCTACTAAATTAAAATACAGTTTTATGAAGATTCAATCACTTAATTTAAAATAAAAAATAATTAAATGAAACACTTTTTGGAAAAATCATTTTGGATTTATAGATTATAAATACGATATATTTCCTAATAATTCTCTCTTATATTGATGTTATTTAAAGCATGTGCATCACCGACCACTTAGTCAAGCATGAAGAGACAAAGGACATATTAAACTCTTCCAATCTCAATAACACTCTAAACTCCTATTGTATACCATTCTATAAAAATCTTAGAAGAGCAAGTAAAGCATGTACAGTTAAAACCTACTCATGACATGCACTATGCCTATGCTTGTATCATACCAATCCGACAAACTTGGTTGTGATTTCATTCTTATTCCTAGGATCCATATTACCCATGATTTTAACTACATATACGTCCATTATGATCATTAAATGAAGACCTGGTTTTTTGAAAACACCATGAAATTATTGATGAATAGAACATTTTAGTACTCCATATTTCATTTACACTATTAATCAAAAACTAGATAATTTAGCTAGTCATTAAGAACAAGTGAAGTATATTCATTTTAATTAATTACAAAAAAGAAATAAAGTACAAAAGAAGATATATCACTAGTTGGGTTGAATGGTCTCCTCTGCACTCCTCCTTGAACTTATAAATTTCTTCTATAAACACAAGCCAAACACTCTAACATAATATCTAGTACTTCTCTGAATTCTTATAATTTTCACTCATAAGGAAAAATCAGAGAAGTACTATAAAAACTAAAAGTCATGCCACCACTCTTATTTGGTAAATTTCATGGTTGAACTGTTGTGAAATGCTTTCATGGATTAGTGAAAATTGTGTGTATCAAAAGTCGTGTCATCACTTCTGTTAGTTAAATACAAATGATTACTGACAAGCAATGACATAAAGTGATAGGTAGCTCTTACATTAAAAATCAAAGTGCAAGCTTTTTGACTAAGGAATGATCACATGTTTGACACATATGAGCACTATTGAGTTTGAAACTGACTCCACTCATAGTGACCTAATTATGTTTTGGCTTTAACGCTGTAGTGCATAGGGTAACATTATGGTACTTAATAGTGAATCATAATGCAAAGGTGAGTGGTTAAAGAAGCATTGAATATAATGTCTCAGCACTATAGATATTAATGACGTGGCACCATGACACCATAAAATTGTCAAAAAGAGCTTGTGAGTATAATTATAATGCTGCAATGCTTGGAATTATGACACTTTATTATTGGATTACCCCATTTACCCAAGTCTTAAGTGCTGAAACATCAGTTTTAGATGTTGTGGTGCTTAACAATAAAACCCTATGGTGCTTTAAATCCTAGTGTTGCGGCGCAGTTTTAATTTCAAGCACATATTAAATTATAAAAAAAATGATGTAATTTTTAGTTATGAAATGAAGAAAGCACTCATAACATTTTTCACAATAATAAATAAAAATTATATACAAATATCAAATAATAAACAATAATACTTCACACAAATAATATAAAGATGAATTCTATAAATCAACATAATTAGGTTGCCTCCCATATAGCATTAAGTTTGTAGTATTCAATCAGAATTTACCTAAATTTTTATTTTTTGGTTATGTAGCATCACTACTATTCCTTAAATACTCTAAAATTTAATCTTTTTCCATTTTGTTAGGATTGATTTTAGTGGTACTAAAAAAGGTACTATGGTTCCAATTGATGAAGGAAATTGCTAAATGCTCTATTTAATTCTCCAAATTTTGAATGGTAGAAGCTTAGCTCTATTGATTTCCCATCTAAAGCTATAAATCCTCCCAAGGTGTCATCTTATCTTTAAATTGATTATTCTGATTAAATCCTAGGGTATAAGAGGGTCTAGGATTCACTATAGGGTATTGAGGGTTATTCCAAGGTACTATATAGGATTCAACTAATTTCCACTAATATTATTACTCTAACAAAAGTTAGAATGGTTCTTCTAACCTAGATTGTATTTATTTGAAAAAGGATTATTTTTTCTCCCAGTTATATTCACATTCTTAATCCCTTGAGCACTAAACTCAATATCTCGATACAAATCATTCTCCTCCAAATGTATAGGCGATCCTGAAACTAGACAATTTCCAGAATTGTCTAACTTCTTAGACAAGGAAGCTCCTTGAGTAGTCAAAATTGACAAAGCATCTAACTCATATGTATTGGCTACTATCTCATAAGTCACCTTATTAGAAGGAGGCCATTAGAAGTTAATTTTTACAATTTCCTCTATTAATGCATTAGCCTTATCAAAAAATTTTATCATCGAAGACCCTCTGGCTTCCATAATTGAATCACTACCCAATTAGGCATGATATGATGAGGGCACTTCCTAAGCATCTCCTAGAATCCTTCCGAGCTCTCATAAATTGAATCTCCATAAAATTAGAAAAAATAAAGTAATATCATTCCTAATCTTAGTAGTTATTAAAAGTGGAATGTACTTAGCTAGGAACTTATATGGAAACTCATTTTATGAGGTTATCAAGCCTAGGGGCAAGAAAATTTAACAACATTACAACTTTGTCACTTTAAGGAAATTTAATTAGATGAAATCTAATAACATTATCATTAGCTCCATTATACTTAAAAAATTGTGCAAATTTAAAATGATAAAATACTAGATGAGCAAATAATGAAACTAGAGTCAAATGAAAAAATTAAATGGGAATTCTATTTTGATGGTGCTGCTTCTAATCAATAGGAAAAATCTGATCACATTTCCTTAGGGAAAGTTGAAATCAATATTGTGTTTATAATACTAGATAAATGCTTAATGTATTACTCTTATCATATGTTAAAATATTATATAAATAATAAAGCATAGTATGAAGTACTAATTAGGGGGTTAGAGTTGATAATCTTGAATGAAATTCATGAGATCAAATTTTTTGGGTATTCATAGCAAGTGATCAATCAAATGACTTGAATTTATCAAGTATTAAAGGAAAATTTAATTCATTATAATCAGTATATAATGCATTTCCTTAAACAAATTTTGAATGTAACATTTTATAAGATTTTACATGAATACAACTCTACGACAATTGTTGTTTTAGAATTAGCTAAAGCTTTAACTAGTCTTAAAATGGATTCTATCTTGATAAAAGTTCAAGGTCATAAATTCTTATCACCTATTGGCTTTGAACATATAAATAAAAATTCCATAGCTAAGGTGAAAATTATTTTTGCAGTAGATGATGAAGTGGAGGATTGGAGAAAATCTTTCATCAAATGCTTGTAAGAAAATAAAATGTCATTCGATAGATTTATGACTATTTAAGTCAAAAGAATATCTTTATTTATAAATTAATTAGTAATAACCTATATAGAAGATCATTCAATCATATGTGATTTTAGTATTTAAGTAAATTAGAAGCATAAAAGATTGTAGAAGAAGTACATGATAGATTGTGTGATGCTCACCCGTCTGGTCCAAAAATGAAAATAAAAATTAAAAGGATGGGATAATATTTACCATCAATAATTGATGACTACATGAAAGTTCCACATTATTATGATCAATACCAAGTACATGGTATGGTTTTACATCAATAACCAAATATATTATATCCAATATTCATGCTCTTAATGTTACTTTGAAGAGACTATCCACTTGGTGGAATCAAAGAGCAAAGGCTAGATGGCATGAGGATGGAGATGAAAATTCAAAAATGTTCCACAATTTCTCTACAGCAAGGAGAAATGGTAATAGAGTGAATCAAATCAAGGATATGTACAATAAGCTACAAGTGGAAGATGATGAAATTGAGAAGGTATTCATTAGTCACTTTGAAACAAAATGGAAATCCAGGAAATGTGATCTAACGGGTTGGCCGAAGATTTGTGAGAATCAGAAGTTGACAGCTGAAGACATTGGTGCTCTTAATGCAGAATTCTCGGTGAGCAAATTGTAGCATTCAATTTTCCAGCAAGGAAACAATAAATCTCCAGGTATGGATGGTCTCACATCCTCTTTTTACAAATGCTATTGGGAAACTGTGTGGAAAGATCTTTGGAATGCCATTAATCACTTCTTAACTTCTGGGCACATGAGGAGAGATTGGAAAGACACATTAATTGTGTTGATTGCTAAGATGAAGAACCCATTACTTCCATCCAATTTTAGGCCAATTAGTCTCTGCCAGACTAATTACAAAATTGTAGCCACCATGATAGTTAACAGGTTGAAGAGACTTATCCCCAAGATAATTACTGAAGAACAAGTGGCCTTCATCCCAGGTAGATCCATTTCAGAACATTGCCTTCTTGCACAGGAGATTTTTCACAAATTCAAGATATCGAAGAACAGGAAAGGCTTAATGGCCTTGAAGTTAGACATGGAGCAAGCTTATGATAGCCTGGGGTGGCCAACTCTTAATCAAATTCTTAGTTGGTATGGCTTCCCTTCTTTGTATTCTAACCTTGTTTTGGAATGTATTGTAGATGTGAGATACTCCATTATTATTAATGGAAAAAACTTAAGTAGATAAATTCTTGTAGTGGATTCAGGCAAGGTTGTCCACTCTCATCTTACTTGTATATCATGTTCTCCCAATTATTGTCCAACTCTTTAAGGCATAAGGAGATGGATATTGGCATTCAAATCTACCCTGGGGGATCGAGAATTTCTCACCTTATGTATGCAGATGATGTACTTATATTTTCCCAAGCCTCAAAGGTGTTAGCTATGAATCTGAAGGAAATTGTTGAGGAGTTTTGTAAATGGACCGGGCAAAAGGTTAACACCAACAAATCACAAATTATTTTTGGTAGGAATGTCAGCTACCCTGTGAAGAAAAAGCTTGCCAAAGTTTTTGGTTTCAATGTGGTTAAGGAGTTGAAATACCTTGGAATCAAAATCTCTCTTAGTAAATTGAGGGTGGCTGATTTCCAAGATCTCTTAGTCAATGCTATGGATAGACTTAATGCTTGGGGTAAGAAGTCTATTTATATGGGTGGTAAGATCACTCTCATTAAAAGCTCCTTTTTGACTATGCCAAATTTCTTAGTGACACATTCTTTGGTCCCAAAAAGTGTGTTATATGCCTTGGAAAAATGTTGTAGAAGCTTCATTTGGAATAAAAATGATGGCAGCCACAACATTCATTATCTGGCCTGGGAAGAGTTATGTAAACCGAGAAGATTTGGTGGGCTTGGACTGCAACCACCTGTTATGAAGGCTGGTTCTTTTAGAGCAAAGTTAGTTTGAAATTTCATTCAAAAGCCGGACATCTTATTCCACAAATCCATTAAAGCTAAATATGGGAAGAGTGTTTTGAATAACACACACAAGAATACTACTTCTAAGGCTTGGAAAATCATAGTAGATGGAGGAAGACATCTGAGAGATATTACTAGATGGAGAATTGGCAATGGTAGGGAGGTTAATGTCCTGAAGGATATTTGGGTACTAGATAGATGTATAAACCGCTGGCCCACTCTTATTGATTGTGATTCTTTGGAGGGCATGTGTGTCTAGCAGCTATTGCTGGAAGATGGTCAGTGGAATTTCTCACTTCTTCAGAATGTTTTTCACTATGAATTTATTGTGTTGATTAACCAAATTCAGGTTGATCCAAGGGAAGATGATCGGCTTGAACTGCAAAAAATTTGCTCGGGTATGACTATTTCTGCCTTATCCTTTGATCAAGTTTTGAATTGTAGATATAATTTTAGAGAAGATGAATACTGTAGCTGGCTTTACAAACTAAAACTCAGCAAGAAAGTGGAAATGTTTTGGTGGAGGCTAGGGAAATCTGCTATACCAACCAATTCTTATCTCAGAAAATGCAATATTTCGGTGACAGATACTTGTGCTAGAGGTTGTTTAGAGATTGAAAACTATGAACATATTATGGTCCATTACAAGTATCTGATAGATATTGTTATGAAAGTGGTGGAATGGGTCATTTACATTCCAATCTTCTATTCTTTTGGAACAATGCTTATGGGAACTAAGGAGATTAACTGGAAGTCATATTGGCATAGTCAAAATTTATTGTATCATTGTCTATTACTCTTGGAGAAATAGGAATGAAGTCAAGCATGGTAAAACTGCTCTACCATGTTATTTGGTGGCTTCTAATGCTCTTTCAGTTGCTGTCAACAATTCTTGTCCATATCTTTCTAATTGGGGTACCAATCTCCCTAGGGAGTCTCATAATAATTGGTGCCCCCCACCGAAGGATTGGCTGAAAATTAATGTTGATGCCTCATTAATCTCTTCGGGAATGGCTGGAATCGATGGTATATTCAGGGATTATAGAGGAAGATTCATCCTTGCTTTTGGGAAGAACTTGGTCCATTGGGACATTACTCAGATGGAGATGCAGGTGGTCTTCACGGCTATAGATCATATCCGAAGCTGGATGCTTGAGTTCAAAGGTGTTATTATGGAAAGTGATAACATCAATGTTATTACACATCTTCAGAATTCTTTCAAGTAAAATAAGTGCCTTGTGGATAACAATTCGGCCAAGGATTCATTCTTCTTGAACGACTTCAATAAGGTTCTATTTCTACATGCTTATAGAAATTGTAATAAAGTAGCTAATTTGTGTGCTACTTTAGCTTTAGATAATAGCTTTCTTTTTGATAGTTTTTCCTTTAATGATATCCCTTCCTTGTTAGCTAAGTTAATCATGGAAGAGTGTCATCCTTTTGACATTTGTATCTAGTTTCCTTGGTTCTTAATGCATTTTGCAACTCCTCAAAAAAAAAAAAAAAAAAAAAAAAAAAAAAAAAAAGACCTTTAAAAGCTGGGGTATAGATATTATCTATCAAATTGATCCACTATTCTCCAAAGATAATTGGTTCATATTAGTATTTATAGATTATTTCTTAAAATGGAGAGAAGTAGTCCTTATTAAAGAAGTTAAATTCATCATATTTTAAATTTTTGAAATACCATATTGAATATAAATTTTGCATTCTTTGTCAAAAAATATTAGACAATGGTCCATTATTTAGAAGTACTAAAATAAACAACTACTAAATGTCACAACATTGATTGGAGATACTATACTATCTATTATGCTCAAATAAATGGATTAGCTAAGGCATTAGAAAACTTTGGTGCATATTTAAAGAAGACATTGGATGAAAATAAACATCAATGGCATGAAAAGTTTGGAGAAGCTTTGTGGGCATATAAAACACACATATGGAAGTCCTACTCAATCTATGCCATTAGCTTTGGTTCATTAAAAATAGATTGTTCTCCCTTTAGAGGTGTAGTTTCGTTCATTGCATATAATCATCAGTTAAAAAATCACAGAAGATCAAAGTGCAAAACTTAGACTAGAAATATATGTAGGCTCAATAGAACCTTGAGTTATACAAAGCTAAATTTATTTGAGATATGATAAATTGGTGTGTCCAAGAACTTTTCAAGTAGGAGAATTGGTCTATGATATA